TAATAGTTCAGGGTCTAATAGTAATAGAATACTCGACTTCGGCTAATCCGTGATTGATTTTCTGCCGTTTCACAGGTTGGCCAATGGCCTATATCTGGGAAGAAGTAGTGGCTTTATCCTAGTGATTAAAATTCAAGGAAAAAGGGTGATTTTCAAAAATGCGATCACACTCAATATGTATGAGCACCAAAAAAGCAAATGCGAATCAAACGATTTTCATGAAGTTCGGTCCCGATTTTGCGAAACGATTCCGAGAAGTGCGTTATGCAAGTGTTCTTCACGTGGGGTGTGAAGTTTAGTCGATTTTATAAGCGCATCGACTCATCACAATCGATGAGAAGCAATGTGTTATGCTGTAGGGTTGTTTATCATAGGCTTACCGTAAATCCATGCATCGACGAGTTGTTTTTCTCTTTCATGGAGTACGTGCTAAACTCTTGCAAAGCAGTATTCCGCTTCATTTTGGCTATCTGCAGCTCTTCCTAATCTTAAGCACTATCGGAAACGGTTTCCCGGTTGGAGTTATGTGATACCTCCTCTGGACATTATAGCTATCAGAGGAGGTGCAGGAGAAACAGTTTCTTCGACTTCCACGAAATGATTGCGCAGGTTGCCGTGAGTGGTGTCTCGTAGTTCGAGACTGGAGTACCCTAACACTTCCCATTTTTCCAAACAGAAAAGGGTAGGGCCGGTCGTTGAATCAGAATTCTTCACGGTCTATCAAAGCCGGGCTTGAAAATGGGGTGCTCATACTGGTTGGTGAAATTTGAAAAAGATTTTCCTGTGGCGTTACGCGAGCACTAACTGAAAGGAGTCGCTCCACACTGAGTAAACTGAGCCACATTTCGCAAAAGAATTCCAATTCCACTTCACTGGATCTGATCGCTTTTGGGATAGGGACAAGGCACCTTTCCTTTTCTGTAGGACCGTTTCCGACGTTGCTTAACGTAAGCGACGGCTGCTAATAGTCAGGGAGAGGCGTAAAATTGTTTTCGCTAAAATTGGAAGTTCATTTTGGTAGAAGCAATGTTTGAGCATGGAAATCCACATACCTTGTACCTACGTTAGTCCACCACCATATCACCTGCACAGGTCGCGTTCCCACCATCAAAGTAGCTTCGTGCTTTAATGTAGGCCATTATCCCATTCCAACTCAGATGGAATGTTTTCATAGTTGATATTAGAATAGCTCCGAAATTTGGTAATAGATTCAGTATCAGCAAATAAACGCATGGGGCGGTATACACATCTTGAATGTGGCCAATGTGGCTCAGTGTTCTTCCCCTCCCAAGAAACATCAAGGCCTTTTCCTTGTCATTGCAACGAAAAACATGGTTAACACAAAATTTCTTCTTCTCTTACTGGACACTTCATTTTGCGTCGTCACTGATGGGCATATTTTCTCAAGTTAACATCGACTATGGCACCGCCTGTTTTGTTACATTTTCAAGTAGAAAGGCTTAGAGGGTGATCAAAAAGGATGGACATATTCAATTCCCAAAAGCGAAGTCGAAAAGAGAGTTATTGCTGCTGCTTGTAGACGATTCTACCATTCTTAGGTTTCTCTGAACTAATGATTTTCTTTGTTGACCGCTGTTTGGGCTGGGCCAATAACTGCCTTTTCATAGTTATCTTCCTACTAAGCGCTTTTCGTAAAATTGTGTTCTTATTCGGGCGTCATTTTTGTGCAACGACTAATTTTTAAAATGTGCAAATGATGGACTGTTTTCAGCTTGTGTGGGATTTAAATCTTCTCTCATGTAACCATGTCACACACTCAGAATATGTACAAAGTGGGCGGTAAGTAATGATGCATATCACATCATATAACCGCGCGATGANAACACTCCATATCAGATTCGCCGAATCGAAGACTTAAATAAGGTACGCCCAATTTTCAAAGGTGAAAAGTCTCGCTTCTGCTTCGATTACTGCTTCAGTCGGTAGTTTTTCGTAATTCTTCAAGAACAACAGACCACTATGGACACTCAGTCTTTCAAACACTTATTTAGAAGTATGAAAGATCTTTCTTTTCTTGTGATTTGCTGCTTTAAGACTTGTCTGAATAGAACACGGACTTCAGTCAGCTAGGAGGGAATTTTGTTTGGATTAGAAATAAGTTGGTTGGATGTCTTGAATTGAATGAATGCATTTGTTGGATTAATGGCATAGCATCTATGTAAATATTTATTGTATTTTTCTTCATTTTATTGATCCTCTAATTGATTTCGTTATTAATTGTTGCAATACTGTTAAACATTTAGACTGCAACAGGACAAGTCGAGGCACGGGTTACATTATACTATCGCCGTCGAGACATTTCTACTGCACTACTGAAAATTGCAGATCAAGCTGAACGGAGATTTGACGAATGTAAGTTTTCTCACTTTATCTTTACCTGTTGTTCTTAAAAGCATGCTTACCTTCGCTTTGTTCTGAGCATTCTCTAGTAGAGTATGTTTTTGAGTTTTCAATCCTAAGCGTATTTTGGTTGCATTATCTTCCAGATTATGAGGAAGATAAACCAAAGCCAGAGAAATATGGAGCGGCAGGTCACACAGTGGCGAACGGAGCTGACGTGAAAGCTGAAGAGTCCGACGTGACAGGTGAGGAATAAAGCAGTAAAGTTTGAGCCATTCTTTGGTGTCCCAGTGGATTTCGTCTGCAGCCGACCAATGTTCATAACTTTCGCTAGATTGCTGAACATTGTTTTATCCCTTTAGATCACAAAAACGATTCGAAGGAAGATCCAGAATCAGATAAGCGCTTCGAATGGGGTTCAGCAGGCTTGCCTCTCGGGGTGGACGAACTCGAGGAAGTTAAGCGACACCGAATCAGGTTAGCCATTTTTTTGTGAAATTTATGGCACCCGTTCTTATAAATTTACTCAACTATTTCTGAAGTAATTGTACAGGGACCTTAAACCGAATAAAGTTAAAACCATTCTATATGATATTTGTGGATTTTTCAGGCAGCGAGAACTTTTCCTTTCACGGCAAGTAGAGACCCTTCCAGCCACGTTGATTCGTGGGAAATGCCAAGTTACATTGCTCAGCGAGATCGAGACGGTTTCCAGCTATGAGGGCGAGGTACTCCGCCATATGTTACTTTTGAAAAGCTAGGTGTAGTCCCATACTGTTCAGGACAAGTTCTTTTACTCTTTGGTGTACGATCCGAGCCAGCTTACTTTGCTTGCTGACAAAGGAGCTATACGAGTAGGCGAGAAGTATCAAGCAGAAGTACCTGAAACGATGGAGTGTGACGATGGGAAGGAGAATGGCGATGGGTATAATTTCACTCTCTTTTTGAATAGAAGAATCAATTTCAACAATGAATAGTCACATGATACGTCGAAATCAATGAATTTAGACCTATGGGGAGTAAAGACAGTTATTAAAACAGACAGTTCATGATAGAGATGGTCCTCGATATTTCCGACTAAGACGAAACTGACTTCCGTTGATGCCATTTGGGGAGAGTCGGGTCAGAAAAGGCCTAGGTAGTGTATAATAGGGGCTCGAAAACCGACTTTGTCAAAGTTTATGCCTTGAGAGGCCACACTATTCACAATGAAAGCGGTTTTGATGAAATCTCAAGCAACTACTAGTAGACCATGGGGACGGTAGAAGCCATTTTTAGCACTTTTGGCTTAATGCAGCCGGCTCTTTGACGATTTGACAACTGAAATGTCGTGCAAGTACCCCTTCCATTCCAGTTTCCGTGATGGTGATCTCGTGCATTTTTCTATTTTCTATAGTGTTAGGAAGCTTGATATTTTTTCTTCTTATTCATCGAGTTTTCTCTCATCATCTATTCCCTTTTGTTTCAGCGATGAATTGATGATTGATGATGAAGAAGAGCACAGTGGCAGTGAAATACGCGCGTCTCGTCGTGCACCATCAGAAACAGAACGTGAAACACTTGTTTACCATCCCCATCACTCCTTAACGGATCGCGATATGGACCAGTTTCTTATTGTTGCCAGGTCTGTTAAATTGTGTAGAATTCTGTGGTCTAGAAGTCTCATGTCTTTCTCATGATTTTTCTAACTCACGACTTGCACTGATGATCGCATTTTATCCGAAACGTCAAGGCACAATTGGCAAGATATTCCAGAGCCGTAGGAACCTTCTCACGAGCTCTTGATACGTCTTCTTCGACAAAGCTGCCCTCTCTACACATGACTGCAGCGGCTGCCTCTCGCGATGTAACTCTTTTACATGCGATGGCGTTGCTTCACCAAGCTGGTTATGATATTGGTCAGGTGAGTCATATTTTTTCTTAGCTTTCATAGCTTAATTCATAAGCTTCACTGCCTTCACTTTACAAATCAATTTAGGCAGTGAAATATCTTGTTCCACCACCGAATAAGAACTACTACCCATTAGAAGCGGACAAGGCAACTGGTAATAATACCGTCAGTCTCGGTGGCCCCATTTTGTGCAGGTTAGTTCAGTAAAGAAATAGATCTCATTCCTATTTTTTGTATCTCAAGCTAATTATAGCTTGGCCATTATACGCGTACGAGCTAAGCGTAGTGGTTTTCAATACAAGGAAGTAGGAAATTGCGCATAAGTTCGAAGAAAGGGTAGAAGTATTATTCAGAGATCAAATTGAAGAATGGTCTGCCGCGGAAGCAAATTTATTTGAAGATGCTCTCGAAAAGTATGGGAAAGATTTCTCGGATGTACGGGTCGATTTTGTGAGTTCTCAATCCATTTTTTCCCCGAAATTCTAGACCCCTCGAGACTTTCTTCTTGTAGCTACCGTGGAAATCTCCACGTGATATTGTTGAGTACTATTACATGTGGAAAACTACAAATCGATATGTCGAGCAGAAGAAGAAGAAAAACGCGGAACATGAAAGCAAGCTAAAACAGGTGTGTATTTCTATTTTTCTTCATCGGCTAGAAGGAAAGTCCCCATAACTTTGGTAGATATCTAATTGTAAGAGCTCTTCTAGGTCTATATCCCGAATCATGCGAAAACGACTGGTCCTCCTGTGCGAGGGACGGATCCTTGTGAAGGCTGCAAAGTAGTTTCACTATCTCTGCTTTACATTTTAGAGATTTTTTCTTTATTTTTTTTTTTTTTTGATTTTCGAGAGCTGAGTGCAGTATTACGCGAAGGTGATAGAGGTGGATAACGAATAACNCGAGGGACGGATCCTTGTGAAGGCTGCAAAGTAGTTTCACTATCTCTGCTTTACATTTTAGAGATTTTTTCTTTATTTTTTTTTTTTTTTGATTTTCGAGAGCTAAGTGCAGTATTACGCGAAGGTGATAGAGGTGGATAACGAATAACGCATAGCAATCGAAAAAGGCTGGAGGCATTACGCTATTGTTTAAGGCTGTCGAGAGCAACATATGGCATGCCTGGGGGCCTTCAAACTTGCAGTTGCGCCTTTGCCATGAATGCTGGACGTACTGGAAAAAATATGGTGGATTAAAGGAACGACATGAATATGGTAAGTGATTAAGTTTATAGTAGAGTAAGCCCAGCAGTCCACAATTTACATCTGTTGGATATTCTGTTGGATAAAATCATGATGAAGTTCAAGTGGTCCTGTCTCCATCGGATTTCATGAAAACCCATTGATCGAGGAAATCCGCTATCTTTCTATTCAGAGGAGTCCTAAACTCGTCTTGATTGAAAGAGAACAAATGTTGTTTAGAGTGTTTACGCGCTTGATGTGGGAAATCAAGGCTAGCATGGTTACTCTTCGAATTTAATTATCCTGTTTACTTGTTACTTGAGATTGAAGAAATATGTTAATTAAAGATGGCTTCGATATGAGTTGCTCAGCAAGTGAAGATAGTACTGCAGATGTCAACGAAGCTCCAAAGCCAGTCGTCAGTAATGTGAATCCGCCCGCAATCAACAAAAGCTCATGTGCGGCACAGCAGGTAAGCTTTCCTTCAAAATGTTTTTCTGATGGCTATTCAGAAATCCTCAATCTAGACGAATTTCTGTTTTAATAAATCTCGTCTCATAATTTCCTACAGTTTTTACCTTCCTCGAGAAATGCGCTCTCTGACTGATTGATTTGACGTTCTTAGTGAAAATATTTCTGCAGTTATGATCGAGTGTTTGCCAAACAGAACCTTTGGGCAATTGGTGAAACCTTGGAATTATTTTTCACGAAAAACTGCTAAAGACATGGCAAATCTTCTACTTCAGAATAGACCAGTCGGAGCGGGTCATGTGATAGCACGTTTACCACCCAATCACCCTCTTCTGCTAGCTGCTACATCTGCATCTGGTATTTCTCCGAGTAACCCTACCAAAACCAAGGTAAGTGACTTTTTTTTATTCGAATAGCCCAATCTAATATATATCTGCGAAATTCATTTGTTGCGGCGATTAAAAAACGCCAGAAATCACCCGCAAAAGTGTATGCAGTGATGGTCATGTTACATATGATTGATTCGGTTTCGGTTGTTTAGTATACTGGAGGAGATTTTTCAGCAGCTAAAAGCTCCGTTCACAATGCGGCCATCTGTGATGTACAGGATTGCTCGCCGAGTCTGTCCTCGTTCTCTGCTGAATCTACGATTCGCCGCTAGACGACCAACACATGAAATCAGCCTGAGTGCAGTGAAAAACTACTGTAGGGGTTTTTCGTCGTGTTTTTAATCATTCAACTTCTTTAAATTTATTGGCTATAGGCCCCTAACACTTAGAACGCATTGCACACACTACGGACACTTAGTTATGGTCGACTAGTTTAGGTTACTCTGTTGAAGCGGCCACGGCAGTGTTGTCTGCAGCTACACAGATCTATCAGCTGCACAATAGAACATTGCCACCTACGTTCTCCCAGAATTTCACATTACAGGCGGTTGGTTTCAACTCTCGTATTACTCTCGTGAAGTTCCTTTATTTTCATAATAACTCCTAGGCTCAACATCACCAACTGCAACAGCAAAGTTTAAAAAGGCCGGCCAGTTCTGCTGGTTCAGAACTGAGTGCAAAGAGAGAGAAATTGGTGAGTTTAATTTGAGTTGTTTGCTGTGTGTCTAGGTGTTGTTATGTATTTAGTGTTCGGCCTGCGAACTCAACGAGTACAGTGAATCAAAAGTTATTACAAAGTTAAGAAATGCTTACTAGGTTATAAAAAGTTGCGAGAACACGATCTACCGTTAAGGAGTGTTGGACCTATCCACAAAGGGCGTGCTGACTTATCTCATTATTCCCACTTCCCATTCAAGCTCGCCTGTGAACTCAGAGTGTGAGTGAACAAAAGAAGTAGTGAATTTAGGTGTGAAAATGTAGTTGGGGGGTGCCAGCGTCCTCTTGTGCCCTGGGTCTCTGACACCGGCGGTGGAGTGCATAGAGATCGCAGAGATTGATTCCTCCCCTTCTAAAAGTTAGGGGAGGAGCTCCGGGGTGGGAGAGATGATTATCTCGTGCAAAAAGCTGGGATGGGTAAGAATTGAACATCCAATTGGTTCACCCACCCCGGAGCGCCTTCCCTAACTTTTAGAAGGGGAGGAGCTCCGGGATGGGTGTGATGATTAGATAGGGTGAGATTGAAGAGACGCAGAGCACAAAAGTGCCTGGCACCCCCCAGCTACATTTTCAACAATTTGGGGCTTAGCGCCATTGAGCAAGAGCAGGTATACAAGAGGGGCGGGCAGCAGATGCATTGCTCATCATTGCAATACACCTTTTTTCTTAGTTTCAAGTCGCTATTGTCAAACAAGATGTTCAAAATCATGTCTGTTCTTCTGCAGGTTGACGTGGGACTCCTTATATTAGTGCTCACAGACTGGGGGTAAGGAACAGGAGCTTTTATCAGAGCGCATTTTGAATAAATAGACTTGAATTTTCAAACAATCAGTGAGCTCGATTGTTACGAGGTTCCGGTCACATATGAATGAACACGACATAAGTTCTTTATCTCTACAAGGTGTTCTAACGATTTCACTGTACTCGTTCAGTTGGCGACCACAGATTGCATGTGAGGGCCTCTAAAATTTACGTTCATACGATTGCACAGATTCTAATCCCCAATAACTCACGCTTTCTCATTTCGTGTCTTGAGCACTGCTTCGTCTTTGAAAACCATTGCCGTCCGGTTTCGTTTGAGTTGACGTTAATTCCTATTGGGCAATACCTACCATGATGAGAAATTCTTTGCTCAACGCAAAGTGATGTCAACTCATGCGAGTGCTTGTGTAGGCCAACAGTACGTTTTAATAGTCTTTGATTGCAAGTTAATGAGTCGAAAAGTCGTTGCTTCCAATGTCGGCTTACTGTTCGATTCTCTCAACCACTAACCATTCGTTTAGACAGTGTGAATTTTTCTTAAAAGTTGTCGTGCGTACCCGCCCTCTTTACTGCAGTAAATTGCGCTTTTCTCACTTAGTTGACGGGTGTTCTTTAATTCACTGACATTGAGTTTTGGTGGCAATCTAACGTGAATTTCCCTAATTAGACAAAAGTTTGGTGATGATGCTGTATGCCTGTATTTATTCGATTTGATTGTTCAAATTTGATGATCAGATGATTGATACCAGTGACGATTCGTTGCAGCAGGTAGGGTCTTCTATCGCGGTAGCAGTCGCTCAGCCCAGCCCCTCCGCTGCTGTTGCTGCTGCTGCAACTGCTACACTTATCCCTACCAGCAAGCCGCCAACAAGCAAGTGGGATTCGGTTTGGCGGTGGCAGCCCGGAGGTCAATTCCTGTTTCTCGCAGGACCGTTATTTCGGTGCGTGCGGCGACGTTAGATTAATTACCTCGCTATTTTTCTGCCTATCTAAGAATTTTTCCTCCTTCTCTTCCCTTAAACTAATTTCTCAGATGATTGATTGGGTCACTGTTGTGGGTTTGGGCGCACTATGCATGTACCTCTTTCATTTACCGCTGAGTGTTGCTCCATGCTCACTAAACAGTGTCTGACTGTGTTCAATTTCGCGATTTCTAGAGTGATCAGGTGTGAGACCTGGTCTTGGAAGATAATAATTTTTATTTTTTCAAGCCTTTAAAATGAGGATTTTTACTTGTTCACAAAAAACCGTGGTTAATTTTATTGCAAACCCTGGTTAGTATTGCTGCAGTTCCAACGGAGTTTCATTGGTAGCCTCATAAAAACAGAATATGGCATGGATCCCAAAAATAAAACATATATATATAATATCTATATATATATAATATAAATTCTGCTCTTCAATCATTCTGTCTAATTTCTGGAAAACACTTAAGTTCTATCTCATTCCACAAATTTCGCAGGAAAAAGGTTCTAGGTAATGGTGCTCGGTCGGTTTGAACCAGTATCTCCATACTTAATTCATACTATTGTGGTCCCTTATATCAAACATTTTCCTTCTTACAATTAGATCAAAGATTTCCGCCTCCACAGAGACACTCTTCTTAAAGTTAACATTGTACAGTTGAGTTCTTCGGCACGTTATAAGTTCCGTTTAATTCTTGGCGGTTTGCGGCACTCCCAGGTCCGGGTTTGATCCTGAGCGGAAGCTACGTCTCCCCCCAATAATTGTGAAAGTAATACGGAACGAATCTTTGCCCGAATTCCGTGGTCACGTGCACGCACGCGGCGAATCCTTGTTTCATTAATCGAGACTGTACATTCCTGAATTTCTGAGCAGTTCATCACGATTCAAAAGGTGTAGTCCTATTCGCATCACAGGATCTGCGGTGATTACAGTGTGTTTCATACGTATAAGATCACCCTCAACTCTGGTATTTACAGGATATGCAGCCAAGCTTATATTTTTCTGGCACCATCATTAGATTCGTCACCTTCAATGACACCCATATATGTTCTTTGGTTTACTCAACTTTTGTATTACACATTGTTTAGATCACCCCGACAGTGCGAAGGTTTCGAAAACGAGTGCAGCAGAATTTGCACTTGGAGATTTCTGTGGAGGGGATGTGTCGCCAATATGTTTAGAAGCAGTATGCACTCTGCCTCGCGAAAGTCATCTTTCCCTAGGAGGAAAAAAAATTGAAGTCTTCGTGTAGCAGTGTTCCGTATGCGGGCAACTAGGAGGCAAACCAAGAGATCCCTCAGCTCCGTTCAAAAACATCGAAGACTACAGAGCCTCCACGAGGACAGGACGCCCGCGCAACCTACGGCGAACGACGAGAGGTGAAGGCCAAGAGCTATTTTAAACAGAACCTTGTCTGTGAACCAAGTTTGACCAGAGTTAGGTCTCTCGGTGTCGAAAACTACTGTATGGAGAGCCGGAAAAATGAGCAGCAACATTGTCAGAGCAGCAATGAAGAATGCTCCGAGGCTTACTGACTACCACAGAAAAGCACGACTTGAATTTGCGAAGTTGAATTTTTGAAGGGATTGGATGAAGTTCACCATTACCGACCAGCCATACAGTTAAATATTCTCGTCCAGGTCGTATTTTCCGATGAGGAGAAGTTCAATTTGGACGGCCCCGTGGTTACAACTACTACAAGGGTGACTTACGAAAGAGCCGATCAACTTTAGCCGTCGCAATTTTGGAGAAGGGAGTGTCATGAGTTATGGGATGCCTTCTGCAATGATATCGTGCTGGAGCATGCTCTCGTGACCTCCAAAATGAACTCCAAGGACTTCCAGGAAGTCTCACAATGGCACATGATGCCGCTTCTGAGCCAGTGACGTGGTCCTGACTAGGTTTTCCAAAAGCAAAGTGCTGTGATCCACATTAGTCATTCTACGAGAGACTGGTTCCCTCCCAAAATATCGAAGTACGGCGTGGCCAGATTGCAGCCCAGATCTGAATCCGATGGAGAATCTGTAGGGCATCATTGTATGAAAGGTTCATGTGAACAACCGTCAGTTTCATACGATAGAAAAGCTCAAGCAGGCAGTAATTGAGTCCTGGAATGAAATCTTTGTGGGAGTGCTTCAAAACCTTGTTTCGAGTGTGCTACGTAGGCTATTCGATATTGGGCTGGACTATGGAATACTCGTTGACTATTACTTATTTTGTCGTTAAGAATGATAAGTTTCTCAAATTCTCAAAGTGATGAAACGGTACAAAACCAAAATTTATAAAAATGTTATGGCAGGAGGTGATTCAGCAAATGTCCGTGAGTGGAGGTTATTCAAGGTGGTGAATCTGACAGTAGTGCTTGAAACTTATCTGCTTGGCTGCTTATCCTGCAAACACCAAATTTGAGGGTGATCTTATACTTATGAAACGCAGTGTAGTAGTACTAAGGGGAAACCCAGTCATTCGTCCAGTGTGCGCGTGGCGTAGTGGTAGTGCTCTCACTCCACAAGCGAGGGTTGAGGATTGCTTCCTGACTTCGTCGATATTCTTGTACAGTGTTCTTCTGTTCCTTTGAACTAAAGGCTTTGAAACCTTTTCTGACATCTGCTCAAGTGGACGCCTTAATTCTGTTATTATTTGCGCTTGTCGTATCTAGTGAAGACTGCAGAGAATGGTTCTGCACGTAACTCGTACGATTTTATTCGGTCTTAAACTTCAAGAAACATTTAACGGAAAGATGTCAGAGATGCATAAGATGCCTGATTGATGAGAATGATCTGAAAAATGTTTGAAGCGCACACGTAGTTCACAAACTGCTCACCTTACACATGTTGCTTCTCCGGAAACTAAACGGTACATCGTCATAGATAAATAAGGTTTTACCGAAAGTATTTCGAATGTTTTGTGACTTCGTTTTTCGAACTTTTTGAATTGCTCTCGATACATGTCAGGGTATGTTGGTGAAAATCGGCCCTCGTGTCATCACTGGCGAGCTTTAGTTGAAACTTGAGTTTGTTGAATAGTTTATCTCCGCTTGTAGAGAAGCAGCGTGAAGAAGGTGTGCAGTTTGTAAACAGCATGCACGCCTCACTCATTTTTTTCAGTTTTTTACATCAATCAGGCATATTGTACATCTCTGGCATCTCTGTAAAATGTTTGTAAAATGTTTCTTGAAGTTCAAAATAGAATGAAATTATAACATGTGCAGCACCATTCTATGCAGTCTAGGACGGGGCAGGCGCAAATAATAGAAGAAACAAGGCGTTTTTTTGAACTGTTGTCAGAAAAGGTTTCAATAGCTCTTGATGAGACGAAGGAATACGTGCAAAAATCTCAACGATGATGGGGCAAACCTGCATTCGCCACCTGTAAAGCGAAAGTTCTACCACTATGCCGCGCACGATATTATAGGAACGGGGTTCGCATTTCCAATCAACGCAGTGTCAGACAAATTTCGAGCTCCCATAGCATTTGGGTGAGCCATTTGGCAGTTTTGATTTCTGCATGAAAATATTCAAAATCCCATCAGTTTCTCTTAGTCTCCATTCTAGGTTCCCCCATGAAAGTCAATCACCCCCTTGGTTAGTGGGAAGAAATTCCATCCTGGTTACTCATAGGAGACGTAAGGGAGATGATCGGATCAATTTGAGAGACACTGTTCACCTGAATTCTAGCTCAATAAAATGGTCGGAGGATCCAAACGGTATTTTGCTGGCCTTCGGAGATTATACGGAGCAAACCATGTCGATTTATACTTACCTTCACCCAGTATGGCCACTTACTATGTTCTCACATCCATAAGTGTAAAGACACTCTGTTGTAAGACTACTTAGCCAGCAGGACAGAGAGGAGTGGCATGCGTAGCTTGCAATCGCTACGAAAATAAACTTCCATGTGCGTCATAATTTTTAGAAAATAATAAAGTGACTACATTAATAATAAAGTTGAACAAACATCTCGGAGTGTAACACAGGGGAAAGCTAGTGTCACTACAGAGTGGTTGAAAATTAATTGGGCACGCTATACGGCGCTCACTGGCATCTCGTTTTCAGTGCGCATGTTCAGAACCTTTCAAGACTTCAAAAGCGCTTAACTCGCTATGAAATTTTCTGTGCATCGACCCACCATCGAGAATTTGCTCAAAGAAGGTCTCCGGAGTTGTGACTTGCAGAGCGTCACAACGTTTTCTTTTCAGCCCTTCGAATTGTCCATGCTGCCCTCAAGACTCGTGAACAAACCTCTGAGACACCAGCCAAAAAGTGGGCGACCGAGAACAGTGAATACACCGAAGTGCCAGTATTAGGAAGAGGATCACCCACAACGATGAAATCAACCAGTTTCTTTCGGAGCAGGCCAAACGAAGTTGGCTGCGTAAACCATACTGGGTACGCGATTTTCGGAAACTGAGGCGAGGACATCTGACCTTCTTCTTCGCCAGTCAGTCCATTTCGCAATCCTCAGTCCAATGAACTTCTTTGTACGGGGTCTTCTGGAGAGCAAGATCGCAGAACGTTCCTTCCGCTCGTTGAGCGCTCTCAAGCAGGCGCTTCAGAAGGGGTGGAGCCATATCGGCGTCGACTACCCGCGGCGCTTTATTAGTTCAGTCATCGAATGTTTAGAATCCAGGGTGAGAGCAATAGGATCGAACTTCGAACATCTCCTGTCCTGAGTGAGCATGTAGCTCTACTCTAGATCTCATTAAAATTGGTTGGTCTACCTGGTATTTATCTCCGAAATTACCTTCCACATGTGGTGTCTTATACTTTTCAGCCACCGTGTGGATGTGCTGTGCTACCATCATGAGTCCCTCTCCAAGAACTCGCACTACAGTTCTTTGCGCTGTGCGCTAGAATCAGCCCTGAAGAAAAAAGACTCTTCACGTTCTTCGCTACTGCTTCGGTTTTCTCTTCCATAGTGAGCCATACAATATTTCGATACCTGCGTCACTATGTACAATATGCTCAAAAGTCTTCGGCCAAATGTTTTCACGTTTTTTGTTTCGTAACTTTTTGCTTAGTGGGGCAAATCGCGCGAAACTTTGATATGTTTAACTAAAGCATAGTTGCTACTATTCAGCGCTATTTGACTGCAAAGCAGCAAAATCCACGTAACTGATAGTTGTTTTTTGCGGTAGCGGAATTCGCTTTAAGGCACAGTTCACGATAATTCCGTGTTGCTGGCTCGCGTCAGATCCTGACGATCGATGTCACGTCAGACGAGTGTCGAGGCGATACAGATTGCAATTATCGTTCTAGGACCCACACACGATCAACTGATCGTCGAGTGATGAGGCGATGTTTTTCTCTCTTTTTTCCTCTGTTTTTCTTTTTGCTGCCGCGATCCCTTATTTAATTTCCTACCCCAAGAGGCTGAAAAGGGTGAGCTATTTTTGCTGTTACTAAGGTTTCTTTTCTCCACTTATGCTTATGAGTGAATGAACTTTTGCTTACCGCAGTCGCTATTTGCACCTGGACCCACACGTACGTAATGACCCACATTGTATAGCTCGTCCGAACGTCCCACTCTTCATTCCTATGGTCTCATTCTCGTCCAGCCCCTTTTTAACAATTTTTCGAAGCCTTTTTTCACTTTGGAACACCGTTTCACGCAGTTCCTTCCCCTTCACCGCACTATTTTCCATCTAATCTTCCACTTTTCGTCATAATCTGGATTACCCAAAATTATTGTGAACTGTGTATTCAAAGCAAAGTTAGTAATGTCCGCAGTTATTCGCACCTGCGCAATTTTCTTCCCTACTGTATTAGGCATTAGCGCTCGTACACTTTGGACATGGCAGAAAGAAATCCTGGAAGGACCTCTGCCTATATTTCAAGTTGATTTTGAGTACAAGCTGTTTGGGATATTTGGAACATGATCAGATAGTAGGTTAGTAGTGGTAAATATTCACAATACACCTATGCTCCACATATCGAAATTTCCCATTATTAGATCCAGTAGGAAAGGAGTTATGACTGGAAAGTGTGGCCAAAGACTTTTGAGCGCTACTGTACATACATATGAGGGCCATTGCGGAAAGTGGTTTTAAATCAGTCAAACGGTCATTTCCAATTTGTCTAAAATATAGAGGCTACAAATGACTTTGTTGAGACTGTAGGGGTTCTAAGGCCATTTTTTTTGAAGGTATAAATTAGTGTTGTAGATAGGAACGACGAGAAATATGACGAATAGAGGAACATTTTCAGACGCCATCGATCTGAATTGCTGCCTCGGGAAACACTGGGCCATCAAATGGGACGACGTGCTCTTATCGCCAAAGAGCTCGATGCTCGTGTTGCGAATCAGGTCAAGGCGCTTCTTCCACTGCTTCCACCCATGCCGTCGGAAAGTCCATCTCGCCGAGTAGTACCGTCCCACTTGATGCAGCCGAAAGCCATGTAGTAATCTTCTGTACTTTTTTCAATCGCTACTATTTCACGTGACAAATTTAAACCGTCGGGAAAACAAATAAACTTCTGCTATGGTGACATTTGTATAAAAGCTTCACAACAGTTACTTTTCCTTGTCAGATCCCCTCAGAACGTTTTATGTCTTCCGTTCCATCTCCTTGATTTTCCCTTGTAATTAAGCGCTGTTTCGTTTCTTTCCTTTTATAAACAGTTTTTGAGGTCAAGGGTGACTATTTAATTGAGATGCTGACGATCACGTTCATCGATCTATAATGACAGTGGTATTATTATAGTAGCGATAGATGTGTACATTTTCCTCACTCTTCCCATCGTTACCTTACAGTTGCGTTGTATGATTGCGTCTGTGCTGAACTTAGGAAGTGAAAAATGTCGTCGTGGCTTTTCCCATTGTAATCATAATCTGTTCCTCCAAGAGTAATTTGGTGAGTGTGTAATGTTCTGAATCGAGTACAAAGATCTGGTTGATGCTTCGTCTGTGTTTTGCTGCAACTGCGGTTTATGATAAATTGGTTTTATGTGAAACCTTTTCTCCCTTTTCGAAGTACCCAGTTGACAGATCCTAAAATTCTGTCAACTGAGTGCAACATTTCAGAGTGTTCAGATAACATTTGTACTTTCTGGAACTGGCACTGTGAAGTGGAGGCGTCAACCCTTTCTAATCCTGGCTCGATGCCCGCCCAGGCCAACCAAACCTTCCATCCCTCCGGGGTCGGTGAATTGGTACCAGACTCGTCTGGGAGGAGAAAAGCACTGACTTGTACATCGGATGGCCTCCGCAAGTCATTGTATGGGCCATATACGCACTCATCACGCCACTACGATTCTGAATGGAAGTCGAGTGCGGGGGCGCATCCCTCAGACGGGATTGATTAGCGCCAAAAACTTGATCCTTTCATTTTATGTGAAACTTTCAAATATGTATGTCTGCGATTGAGTAAGTCGAATGCTATTGGTAAATGAGAATAAACTTCAGCACACAGTGAAACATTTATTGTCTGTCGCGGGCCGACGGAACCACATTCAGAGTGTTCGGATAACATTTGTACTTTCTGGAACTGGCACTGTGAAGTGGAGGCGTCAACTCGAGCTGTCGGTTAGTCGAGAGAGGCGGTTCCTGCGCACACGGCACTACTCGACGGACCAAGAGATTTGGCGCACGCACTGGTGGCAACGGTGATGGCGGTGCTGGTGAAGAATATGTGGGGTGTTTGCCGGCGACCAACGACGACCCTTCGACTTACCGTTCGGGTTCCGAGATAGGCAGCACACGAGCATATAAAGGAGGGCGGATATAATCGCTGGCTAGCGACATCTAATGCGGCTATTTCTAACCCGGGAACGGCAATTAATCTAGGCAGAGCATGTCGAGTCTTCATCGTCGGTCGCCGACATTGCGATGGACCCAGCTACGAGTAGAGGAAGGAGATGTGGACGCTGTACGGCTACGCACTATACACAGCAGTTCAGGAAATGACGACAGGAAGGAGCCGGAATAGGAGGAGAGGAGATCATCTTCGCTGAGATCGGACGAGGTGATCGTAATTGGAGCGTCGACGGAATAGGCGGGCGCCCGCCGCTCTAGCACACTATCAGGACAGCAGTAGTTCGACAGCACGGACCGGTAGATAGGAGAGAGTAGGGCTGAAATAGAATGTTTAAGTTGAGCTATAGGCTCGTCAACAGAATAATATAAGATTTCACAGATATGCCTAATATGCTGGCTTTGTGCCCCATAACTGAGGGGTTGATGTTTCCACAGTACTTGTACGTAATGTGCAACTGTGCAAACAAATCAGCATTGAAGCTGTAGCTAACATGGATTGCCGCAGGTATAAGTTCCCGTTATTTCTTAGTTCAAAACTTTCCGTCCCACTGGATAGCTTATCAATGTTGTGATCCTATGCAGTCATTTGGTTGATATTCATCCCTGATTTCTCATCATCTCCCTCCGTTTCCTCCTTTTCCTCTCTGTTTCCTCCTTTCAAAGCCATCCTCAACTCTTATAATGATTCACATGCCCGGCCTTGACGAGAGAGCCCCCTTGACCCTCACAAATGTTGAAGTCAAATGGGAAAGGAGGAAAAGGTAAGACAAAAAAGTAAACTCTACAGGTGTCGGGGTTTGATACCGGATATAAAAAACGGTAAAGGACTTACTATATGAAATAAAGTTTGGCTTAGTGCACAAGAGGTGCCTTGTCAGAGTCGAGTAGTCCAGATGGAGCAGTTTTCTCGCCAGGTTGAACCTTTGCGATCTCCTCCATAACCGGTACAGGTCCACTGAAAAGAGTTAATTTTTACGATTACTGTAGTTTTCTGGGAATCACCTTCATTACAATTGTAATGAGGGTTTGTATGTATGATTAAAAACCATCAATGTTACCTCGAATGCGATACAGAAGGTTTTTCCTGAGGATATATGCGTACAGGTGGTTCGTTGGGCGAGTTATCCTCACTCATGAAGCCAGCAAGTCTTTTTGATCCAATACAAGCAGCCAAGGTCGGAATTATCAGAGACACAGCAAGTAGTATAGCGCCAGATGCGAACACACAGAAACCTGAGTACGAATTGAATTTGAAAGTTGTACCAAAAACAAAATGAAATCAAAAATTTGAATGTCAATGAATTGACGCCTGTTGTAAGGAAAGTATTTAAAATGTGAAGGGACACTCTGATTTACGTCCTGTTCCTTGCCGTATAAGTTATGTAATGCACCTATCAGGGTAGTGGAAAGGAAGATCGGGACGACGGAGTAGGTGGCGGAGGTGGGGATGCCTAATGCAGGATCTGGTGAATCAGTGCATAACATCAAGCAAAAGAAAACAAAAATGAAGGTGGAGCTGATGCTAACGTCATTGAAGATGAGTTAATATGGTCCATTGCTACATTGAAGGCGGCTTCAATTTATTATGCTTGTTGGAAAAAATGGCGTGAATGTGGGGCGAGTGAAGTGTAAAGGAGTCCATACTACGATGGCACTTTACTGGGAGACGGGCGGTAGGAACGATTTTGTGTAATCGATCCGCCGTACGCGGCTGTCGCGGACTATTTGCCTCGTTATAACAGTTCTAGCGTTCTTCATACANNNCCACTACCCATTTTACTTTTTGCCATTATAACGTTTGGAGCACATTGTTGTGTTCCCGCAAGCCACTATGCGTATTTGTCACATTCGCATTTAGCGCTCCCAAAAGAAACTCAAGTACGTCAGAATGTCAGCCTATGGTTGAATGATGGGAACCTCCCTCGTTTCACCGTCCGGAAACGGAAGAATGCAGGGAAGCCCAGGTTCAATAACGAAAGTAATCTAAGATATATTGGAAGACTCTAATTTGCAAAGAAAAAGCAAAACGGGATTCGACAATTCTTTGACGCACGTATTGACTGCACCGCACTTCCATTTTCAGTTGGAAATTCACATAGGAGGCAATTAAATCTTCCCATTCTCAAATAAAACCACGAATCGGTAGGAAAGTATGATGTGGGATTTTTTTTCCATTTCTCTCTTCCCCTAGCCTCCGCATAAAAATTTATAAATCAGAGTATTCTTGTGTTTTGCGAGGATTTCGAGTGGAACTGCTTATTGAATTCGATGGCCATGTCTTTAGACTCACTCGTCTCCTTGGGAAGCCTGAACTCAGCTCGGAGTCATGATCGCACTCCGTCTAGTCGGGATCAAGAAGAATGTTGCAGAATGAACCCTGTTGGAAGGTGTGAACTGTTTTTGTGGCTACCACTACTGCACTTCATAATATTTTTCGATTTCATTGCCCTCCCTCTAGCCTTGGTTACTCCGCCGCTCTCAGAATCCTTTTCAAACTTCAACCTAACTGGGAAATTCTCCATGTGTGCCCGTTTCTGAAGCATTTGCGATTTGATTAGCGGCTGTTTTGGAAAGTGAAATGCGAGGACACGTACTGCTGGGTGTTGGGGACATCTGCCCCATTTTTCTTATGATAAGGCATCGAGTTCACTGTACAGCCTGTATAGCCAATTATGTAGAACAATGTACAGAAGCGGGAAGTCAGAACAAAAATAGCAGCGATTGATGCTACGTAAAAGGCCGTACTATTTCATGACTTTAAGCTGGCATGAAAAGTAACTTTTCTAGCAAACTCTAAGGAAAAAGTGCTTACCAACAGTCTTCCATAGTCTCATAGGATCGCGTAGCATTTCTCGTAGTTTGTCTTGTGGAACATAATAGCCTCCATCTTCGTCCTGAAACTCGTCTAATTCGAAGTTGAAAAACACATTTCTGTTCATTCATTATTATCTAAAATTAGCGAAATCGGAAAGAAACGAAAGGCTTTTTGATACTGTGTAGCCATTCACAGCAGCTACATATATTGGCTAAACGTTGGGATTTGTGACGTTCAGATTCACCCGTGCAGAATCTTCAGTTTTCAGCAAGTTGTTGATGATCTTTGACGGTTTATGGAAAGCTGATTTGGCGTGAAGTAAGATAACCATCGAACTAACTCCACGATACCTTTTCAGACTAAGGACGCCCCTTAACACTTTCACTTGCGAGTTGAGATAAGCCAGCCAACCATTAAGCAGTATCTCATGTGTGTGTTTATTTGACTGTGACTGTTCATTCATACTCGAGAACACTCATCCATTTCAAACTGCGACGACGCTGCGCTTCAATACTTTTAATTTAGTGACCCCATTGCATTTTATACCTCTTAACTTATTGTTTAATTATTTATTTGTTATAATATATATATATATTCTTGTTCTCTCTTACCCTACTGAAGAGCACGGAGGGAGAATATTTCTTGAGTTTGAGTTCCGTCTGGGCACAAGTTTGACTTCCGTCTAGGGCACGTGCGAAACGGAAGTTGAACTACTTCTTTGGCTTGTCCCCCCTTATAAACTTAATACTTTGTTAAGACAAAGTATTATGTTTATAAGGGAAGACATCAATCCTCGGTTGTATTTATTTATTGGATGGTTCATCTGGTGGGAGTGCTTATTAGAAGGAATGAAGCCGAATGAGCATGAATTAACGGTTTCGCTTGTCAACTATACAAGGCAGCAATTATCCTTCTATTTCCCCCTCTCCTGGTTATCGAGGCGTTGAACAGAGCAGACTCCGATTCCTGAGTTGCCGTCTGTGAATGGAAAAAGTAATGCTGACAGTTTCCCAGAGAAAACTCAAAACCACTCAATCACCATTGTGCTCAATTGAAGAACAGGAGAAGCTTAGTTTTAATAAGCAGTACTTTCCTTTCAGTTTTCTCATATGCATCGTCAAATTCACACGAGTGTACATAACCATGACGAGTGTTCAAGCTGCAGGAGTTTTCTTTTCGACGAACTTTATTTTTTCGTTTAGCCTGCTCATCGTACAGTGGTTACGAGTTTAGGAGATCCCGTTTTTTAATTGTTTTTGAGGGGAGTGTCCTGTGAGGGAGGGTATCAACAAGCAGGGAAGGGGGACGCGAAAACAAATATTCTCTTGAAGACCGATGAATTTCTTGATTTGAACACACATAGCCCATAGAAATCGTGAACATACGTGAAAATCAACACAATGAATAGGTAGCCCTGAATGGGTAGCTTTTCCAGCTCCCGATAACAAGCATAAATGCATCGAACATCAGGAACCCTTCCTGAATATTGCGCTAACTCGGTTTTCAGTGGTTAAGCAGGGCAAGCAGAGAATGACGTTTGGGCTAACAGCTCTTCTGATACAACAATTTGTCGACCAATACGGGCTACATTTATTTCTTGATATGTTGCTTGACCAGAGTAAGCAATACCCAATGGGATTGCTTGCTCATAAAAGAGTAGGGTAAGGTGGAAACAATGATGACAGCTCTATCAGGTTGACCACTACGCAAAACCAGATTTAGGGAAATGCTGACAAAAAGATAAAAGGATTCTCGATAATTGTAGACAAATAGTGACGATGCAAGCCGCCCTTGTTGTTTTTGAATAATTTGAGAAAATTCGCCACGTTGAAAGATGAATGCTTTTCATGTGGAATTAGCGAGCTAATTGGATGTGCATGGGGGCGATGGGGAACGGAACCAGCCGCTGTCCAAATCTCATCGCCTTGACGGATTTCTTCCGGGTGACTGAACGAGGTCTGCCAGCCCCGTTCAGTCACCCGGAACACTAATTGATTTATGTTAACGCGCCTCGTTCAGTTACAGAGGCTTCTGGCGATCCTCTGAAACTGGAGAGAACTGGGCGTGATATCCCAAACTGTAAGGAAAATCGCCTGCTTTCATTCAAGTACAACACAAGCTCGTTCAGAACCCACGAAGCCAGGCCACCAAGGAAGAAGGTGCAAGGATATCACCTTTCAAACATTGTCCAAGGTCGTCTAGCAGGGTGCAGCTGAAATATACCAGCCGAGGCATCTGGGCTTACAACGCAGCACGATTTCCGCTGAATCCATCACTTCACATTGCTCCATTTGATATCCAGAGTGTGGCTCTGTGAAGTTTGTTCCTCTCTCCAAGATCATTAAGTGCTCCCAACCCTCGCACTTCTCTACTATTCTAGTGCAGCACATCATCACCGTTCATGATAAATGAAAGCGGGAGACGCCCTTTCCAAGATATTGAATATTTATCAATAACGGAGTTTTTAATAGCACTGCTATTCGTATGAATCCTAATTACTTCTTAGAACACGCAGAATTTTCAAAGCTGTAACGAAAAATAATTAATCTGAATAATGCATGGCGCCTGTTCACTCACCTCATAGATGACAATCTTATATATGCTTTGTTCAATGCCTTCATGAGGCCATGTATAGCCGATGACAATCGAAACGGCTCCGCCGATCAGAAGAAGTAGTCCTAGAACGGTGCACAGACGACAGATGAAAAGTCCACGTCGTTGAGCAGGAGGTGGTGGAAGAAGGTACCTGTGACGAAGGACGCGATTATGAGAGAGATGTCTTCTTCGGGTTTATCGAACTCAAGATGAATGTTAACTTTCACCTTTTGTTTTCACACTTTAAATCAAGATGAGACAGATTGGCAACTTTCTAGGAGGTATATACACTAGGAGGATAGGTATGAGGGTAGCTAAAAGGCAAAGAACTCAGAAATAGCGCGGTTCCTACTGGTTTTGAGTTTGCTTTTTGTGATCCTAAACATGATGCCTTCCTTCAGCTCGTCAGAAATATGCGCTAATCAATAAAAATCCGTTTCGGGATGCCAATTTCTAGTGCTATACAATTTGCTCTATTCATCAAATGCTCTTCAATTTTAGAGGTTATGTGCTTAATAATAATAATAATAATAATAAGGGCGGAGGTGGTGTAGTGGCAAGTGGCGCACTA